AAAAAAAAGAGGCAAGTTTATGATATTTATTTCGTGAAATTCTCTTCCGGGTTTTGGACTGTAATACTCCGAACACTAGAAGGCAGTATCAACGTGCTATGCTGCAGAAGTCAGTCACACAGACGACATGTTTACAGTGCTGAAGCGTGTGTTTACCCCTTTTGCTAGAAACACTCTTGCCAAAATGCACTACTCTTCAGGAGTCAGTATCAGGCTTTTGCCCAGTTATAAGTGCTCTTTTGAAGACCCAGTGCACGTGACAGTGAGTGGCTTAAATCATCAACAACGCGTGGATCTGCGCTCTAAAATCACCGATGAGAGCGGACGTGTTTTCCAGGCTTCGGCCACCTACCAAGCAGACGATAATGGTCAGGTCGACCTCAACCGCGACCCTTCTCTTGGTGGCAGCTTTACGGGAGTTGAACCAATGGGCTTATTCTGGGCACTGAAAGCAGAGGTCGTAAGCGGCAAGTTTGCACTAACAGACGTGACGCGTCCTGCTCTCGTTGACATTGAGGTTGTCAGTGACAATAGAGTCATCGCCAAAGTGACAAACGAAAGACACTGCTTGACCGAAGGTGTCCGGAGAATTCCTGTAACCGAAGGCAGGATCAGAGGAACTCTTTTCATGCCACCTGGTCAGTTATGAAGTTGTATTGAGGCACTCCATATAGCAGTCAATACAGGCAATTAAATCCGTCATTATAATTCAGCAGGTTATGCTGCTCTTATAAAGTCTGAAATGTAAAATGACAATTTACAGGGTCTCTTTTTAATAAAACATATTAAATTAACTTAGATAACAGATACCAAATTTGTTGGCAATATGCTGTTGTAGTAGCGCCTCTCTGTGGTAAAAAAATAGTCTTAACATTCTACTGCTTGACACTACTACAAGGTCTTCTGTTGTCAACTATAAATTCATGCTCCGTAGTGTAAACAGGCTTGAGAGGGTTACTTTAAAAATATATTCCGTTACAGTTACATATTACTTAATGAAAAAAGAATTCAGTAACGTAATCCAAGCACCACAATATTAATGTAATCTGATTACTTTTGGATTCCTTCAAGGTCACATATTTAAATGAAGTCAAGTATAACAATATCATCAAAAATACTAAATATATTTGTTATGGATATGATGTAAAATATAAACTATTTGAAGCACAATTATAAAACATATATAAAAAAATGCCTTGTAGTTGTAATAACTATGCTGTAAATAAATGCTCTGCTAATATAAAACCAGAATACAACAGAAATGTTTCTGCAACAGAAAAATACAGAATAGAAAATTTGAAATTTTTTTCTCAAGCAAATATAATAAGAACTGATGCACTGAATTATGATAACATTAAGCAATGCTAAAATTGCTAAATTTAAGTATTGGTGTCTGTTGGCAGCATTTGGCATATCTAATGAAACTTTAAATGTCCATTCAAACTGTTCATTCGGTTAAAACCTATAGCTTTGGGCAAAACTTTCTGTTGTAATGAAGGAAGAGGACTTGCTCCATGTGGTCATCTCATCAGACATTCTACTTCAACATGGTGTTAGTACATGTCATCACTTCGCTAAATGATTTCAGTTATTTCAAAAGGCCCTTATACAATAGGAAAATAACTAAAATCGTAAAAAAAAACACAACGACAATGACCAAGCAAATAAATATATTAAACAATAGGATTAAAATGACAAATTATTTCCATGTTTTTGCTACAAAATTATGTTTTATTATGAAGGGAAAGCACACATTCTCTTTCCACGTAAACATTCATGTGCACAGAAACGTGTTGTCAGCACTGCTCTGACGATTTCACCAGTAAAATATTTTAGCAAGTTAAAGGCTGACATTTCTCACTTAGGAGGTAATATTGGCGCTGTTATTGAAGCAGATTAATTTACAGTTTCACAGGGTTTCCCATGCATTGATTTATTTGTGGTGGTCAATATCAACACTGACCGCCACAAATAGATTTTCCAAAAAGGCTTGACTTTGTTGAATAAACATGAGCTCTGCACGTAGGGCTGTGACAGTGGCAGATTTTTACCACAGCGGTGGTAATGGACCAACTATCGCCAGTGGCGCGGTGTTGATATAAATATATATAGGCTATATATAATTAATATTAATTATATATATATATATATATATATATATATATTAGA